TTTTGCATTCTTATTTAAATTCGGGTGCACTGGCATTCTAGTAAAAAGCATATTTCTTACCACAAGGAAAAAAAGGGAGCATTTGCAAAGCTTCTTCAGTGAAACTTTAGTAGATACCAAAACAAAAACCTGACTTAAAATAGGCAGCTTGAAGTCGCTGGGAACATGTGCCCAGGTCTCCTGTTAACTAGCCAAGTGGCCTCCAACCCACCTCTGAATCTGATCTCAGTTGCACTCAATGTACCTTAAAATCAAAGAGATAGACAGGACCTTTAAGGTTCCCTTCCAACTCTACCTGAGTAACTTCTTGATTTTAGAGGCACTCTCCAAGTTATGCATACTAGGAAAAAGCTAATCACAGCCCTATTTACAAGATGCTCCATAGGTCACAACTACTTTCCCCTTGTGGTACCCAGGGTCTAACAAGGTACTCTGTGGTCAAGTATACCAAAGGGAATACTTACACTTCATTAAAACACAAGGTCTCTGCCATAATGGGAAACATTACAGTAAAACTCATCCCATACTCTCTGGCAATGTGGGAAAATAGTATAAACAGAGAATGGGCAAAATGAAGAAAATTATTCTTATTAATACTATGCTCCTTTTATACAGGCCTCTCAGCATCCACAGAATCAGGTGCAAAAACAAGCCCTTACTAGACACAGGATTTAGCAGAAACAAATGTGAATGTATCTATCAAAGCAAGATGCTGAATTCTTCAATGAATGATCACCCACAAAAAGAGGTCAGCATTAAAATAACCCCTTCCTAGAAGTGGGCCTCAACAGCACTACCAGACAACAAAAGTGAACTGCTAGAAGGAGAAAAGCAGCATACCATTTTCAATGTTTCTAAACAATAAGAGAGGGAATAAGCACAACAACAACAAAATTTAAACTACATTAAAGGAATATTTAACAGGGTCCTTTAAATAATTAGCAATGATCAGGTATTTAGTTTTCAGAATATGTAGGTTGTGTGTATTTTTTTCTAATAAAGCATTTCAAATTCTAATTAAAAAAATACTTTATGGAGGAATTAAAAAGATACAATGGTGTCAGAGGAAAAGCCAGGATCCCAGAAGTGGAATATTCTAACAACATAACTTACAAGAAACTACGCTATAAAAACAGATTGTTGATTAACACAAACTCATAACAAAACGCAGAGAGCTCTCACAATGGCGCTGCAATAACACTTGGCTGCTGAATTCTTTCAATACATTAAATATCTCCTTGGAGACCAAATTACTTTACATTTTCTTAAAAGACAATTTATTATAGCTTTGTTTTCTTCTCATTATCTCTTAAAAATATATCGAATGAAGTAAAGAATACAACTTGTAAATAACTTACATAAAATGGTACTAATGTGTGACAACTGACTTTGGTTTAATATGTAGGTTATTATTTAACAGCGCACAACAACCTATTGTCATGACAAATCCTTACTACTACAATATTCCACATGTCACATGTATCAAAAACCACTGTATGCCATTATTATAGCACTCATAAAATTAACAGCCTCAGGCAGCTAGCGATTTAAATAATTGATAAGTTTTCAATTAAAAAGGCAACATTTTCAAGTCTAATACAAAAACCTATTTAAATTACTGATAAAAACTTACACTTGTGTTGGCCCAAAGACAGAAAATGCTTACATGGGAGGGGGGGTAATTTAGCAAGTTTTAACTCAGATGTTGCAATTTTTTTCCCCAATTCTTATACAAAGATCTAGTCTGTGTATTCACTTAACCTTTGTAATCAAAGGAAAAGAATGATTAGAGGACTAATGGTAAAAATGTCCCTACTTTTGCTTTTTCTCATATGGCTTTTAAATAAATACTAAGGTGACCACAATTGAATACCATATGAAAATCTAAGCTGCTTCATTTTTTTACAATAAAAAGATGGTCCTCCATCAGTATCTTCCCTATGCCACTACACCAAATCCTGTAATCAAACTTGCTCAGAGCCAAACTGAAGCGAAAAAACAAAGACCAATGCAAAATTTTAATAACAGGTTAATAATCATGAGGCCCTCTCACCAAAATCTACTGTAAAATTAGATACAAATGTTTTTTTTTATGGCAAAACTGAATCCCAAAGGAATTTCCAACCATAGGAACCAAAACAGACCAAAATGATAGCCAGCCCATGTAGTTTGTGCTTTCTAAACACTCTTTACCTTTTGAATGCTTGTTGAGAGCCTGACTCTCCCTAAACAAAGGGTATGTGATGGCAGGGGCAACAAGTAGAGGAGGAGAAGAAAATCCATTTAAGTTTTAAATGACTTAAAACGTGTTCTCTCTCAGCAATATTTTCAATTCACTTCAAAATATTTTGCTGAGTGGTGGAGTACTGCCTAGTATATACAAGGCCGTGGGTTCAATTTTAAGAACCACAAAAAGTAAAAACTTATTTTTTTTCCCCCACTGAAACAGCATCAAAATAATCAGAGTTTTACCTTAATACATTAAAATTTGAGAATGGGCTCAGGTTCCCACCTATGAATTTTTGTTAGGTGAATGAATTAATGAGAAAACTCTGATCCAATCAGTCAGACCACAATCTACCAACCAGTGACAATTCATGATAAAGCTTTCAATCATCCACAGAAAAATAAGAAAAAACAAGAATCAAGTAGTGAGTGGTACATAAAACTAATACTCACTTTAATGAAATTATCACTGTTATTTGTGAGATTACACCCTGCCCACTGTTTTACTCTTTAAATTACTACCACTATTTTTCTTTGCTAATAAAATAATGGTAACAGAGAATTTTTATTAGTTTACTTATTTCATTAGTGTTTCTATTTGGCAAAATTAAAAGTTACTGTGCCTGTCTGTCCCCTAACCTGAAAATGAAAAATTTATTGATTTATGAAAGCCAAACATTTGGGGATGAGTGAACCGGATGATCTCTTTTTGGACTAAGAAGTACCTATTAAGAAATCTTGGGAACTTCTAAATTTAAGGACCTGTAATGTAAGGTTGTGTGATCATGACTAATATTTTTCTACAACACAAAATAATTAAACATTCCATTTGAAAAAATAACCAGAAGTTCTAAGGACTATTTTGTTCAGATACTATAGCTAAGGTATTATATAAACACAGATTACTTGGAATTTAATAATGGTGATAAATTTTTTTAAAAACCCAGTATGAAGTTGCAAGATCGTGGACAGGAGAGAGGCAGTGGAAACACATGAGTGAGTGCAGGCATTAGGAGAGGCTGGACTTAAATTCAGTATTTCTAAACTAGTCCTGAGACTTTGGGCATGTCTCTCAATCACAGTTTCCTCATTTACAAAACATGGAATGTAGTATCTATCTCAGAGTGATTATTAAATTAAAAAAAGGAGGAAGAAGAAGAAACAACAACTCGGGCATTTAATTTACATAGCATGCACTCAGAGAGGGAAATGATTATTATTATCCCTATGATCACACTTACCAACATTTTTCAAAAAGCACAATTAGTTATGATCTTCTAAAAAGGATGTTATCTCTTACGGGTGGGTATGCTGAATACATAATGAAAACATTGATGTCTGTTCTCTGTCAAGGACGTGAGAAAAATAGAACCCATCTGTGTGTGTGTTTTCTAAAAATAAGAATGTCCCATTCCCAGGAGAGTTAGCCAATCTATCAATACTAGTGCTAGACCTTTCTGAAGACAATCCTACTCTGCCTTTCAAGTACTGATGAGTTCAGCTCTAAATTCTCAGTACACAAAGACTCCCACATAAGTTAATGGGAAGTCAATGGGAAATTGACTTTTCCTACTCTGTGCTGGTTGGAATGCAACGCTCTGTTAATCATGCCATCCTTCTTGTTCTCTTTCCTCCTACCCTAAATTAAAACTATTGGCGGAAACCCATACAGATAGTTTACAGTTTTCATTACAATGAAACAATGTCCTGGTTGAAGCTGAAGTCTATCAGAAACCTACAACCTAACTGTTGGCTATGATTAGATTCTCAAGGAAAAGCAAGGGCCCTGATTCCATTCTACCAAGATACCACTTTGCATTTCTACAGAACTTTTAACTTTTCAAAGGGCTTTCACATCTATTATCCCATTTGATCACTACAATGACCCTGTGCAGTAGAAAGGACAAGTATTATTATCTGCAATTGATAGATGAGGCAACTACAGCACTGAAAGGTTAAGTGATCTGCCTGAGGCCAGGAAGCCAGCACAGAGCCTGATCTCCCACTCAACACTCTCCAGACCACTGGAAAAGATTTTGGTAAACAGATTCCAAACTTAGATAAAATAAAATAAAACTTGAGATGAAAGCTCAAATTGGAGCTCAAGAAAGCTATGTCTCTTCATTATCATTGAATTTTTCAAGCTCTAGAAATGTGCCCTTTTCTCTTTCTTATTTATTTCAGTCCCAGACAAGTATTAATACAAATGTTCACAGAGATTTGAAATACAAAAAAAAATTCATTTCAGGATATATTCACATCTCTTTGATTCAGTAAGTAACCCTGTGGTTTGTTTTGGGGTGTGGGTAGGAGGATGGGTTGTGCATAAAATAATGGAGAATACATCTTTAAATCCTGTATCCATATTAAGCCTGCAGCTACATTATAACTATAGTCTGGAAGGGTGAAAGAGATCTCCAGTTGAAAGTAGATTTTGAAAAATTTTTAGAGCCCAGGGGTTCATTTTTAATGAGCCGTTACTTTAAGTACTGCATAAAAAATACAGGAAATTGATAGTCCATTTAGTCTGCACCATACCTAATGCAAAAGTCATTAAGATGCATTATTCTTAATGTTCATGATATGATCAGTAAGTGTCTTTTGAAAAGAAATGCCCTCAACTTTCACGTAAGGAAATCTGAAAACCTTATCTATTATATGGAAAAATATTATGGCAATTGTGATGTACTTGTATGTCTTCACTATGACCAAGAAACAGCAAGCTCGATCACATTAACAGTTTTAACAACAGTCCTCATTTGTAATGCACTTACATATGACAGCATTGCCTTCATTTCTTCATCACTTCTCACTGTAATTCTATCACCATCTTCATCTTCATCTGTTTAAAAAGAAACATAATGCTAGCGGTAAGATGTGCATTCTTTTAATGTATAAAAACCATGCTGGATGGGAAAATAATACAATTGGTTTTTGATAACATGATACCCAAACCCTTAACACCATAATTTTTTAAGATGTTAGGATTATTAGCTTTTAGTTTGGTTTGGTTTAGAACATAATTAGAATCTCAAAAAAGAACTAAAATTTAGGGATATTTGAAAATCAAAATACTGTTCATATCATTCATGACCTAGGTCCAGGTTAAAGTAAATATAACTGGAGTATGACACAACAGGTTTGTTCGGGAAAATTTTTAAAACCAAAGAAAGGGGCTGGGGACGTGGCTCAAGCAGTAGCGCGCTCGCCTGGCATTCGTGCAATCCGGGTTCGATCCTCAGCATCACATACAAACAAAGATGTTGTGTCTGCCAAAAACTAAAAAAATAAATATTTAAAAAAAAAAAAGAAAGGCCAGTCTTGTTCTAAAACCGGTACTTTATTTCCCAAATGGCATCCTATTCTTTTCTATTTCTTCCTGTTGCTCAAGTCATCTACCACATCCCAACAGCATAATTAAAATAGCTAACATTTACTGAACACTATTACACGGGAGGCACCATAATTTGTACTTCATATGCAATACTGCCTTAAAACCTCAGCACAACCCTCTGATGTGGACATCACCATTATGTTCATTCCCTTTTTACAAAAGAGGAGCCTGGGGCCTGGTGTAAGGTTAACTCGCAAAGCAACTCCAACCCAGGTCTCCCCACCTGCCTATCAGCGCTCTCTTTCCAGTTGCATTTGTGTTGGGTACTCTCTATCAAAGGCAGCAGTAATCGGGAGTTACATTATTTTGAAATAGGCTTAACAGTCCTAAGACTAGAGGATAATAAGACTCAACAAAATTCATAACCAGAATGTGTACTTTGAATCAGATCTTCAAGGACACCTCATCAGAAATGTTATTACTTCAATAACTGTCTTAAAGTAGTTTTGACAAATTCTTCAAAAACTGCTTTAAGAACCTAAAGATAAACCAGGTGAGAATATCAAACCTCATTTTTAACCCAAAATCAAATTGGTGGTCTGATTACCTACCCACACCATCTGCCAGCTGTACCCAGAATGGCTTGTGGCTATTTCTAAATATTTAGCTAGATACTTCTTGTGTCTGGAAATAAAAATTTGTCAATAGTGAGGATACCTGACAGTCTATGTGGCAGACTCTAAATGCATAATTGAAAGAAAAACACCAAAAACATACTTAAGCAATACACTTAGCCTCCCAAGGTGACAAGTAGGAAGGGGCAGGCTCTGGGCAGGACACCTCAGCTCTGGGGCACTACCTAAACAATAAGCATTATTATTTTGTCACTGTTGTTCACTCCTTAGCATGCAATTACTGATTTGATGATCAGATGCATAGATGCACCAATCCCAAGCCAGGCAAACCAGATACCTCTCCCCAAGAAATGAAGACACTTTTAAGAAGAACAGGCTGGTTCAGTTCAACTCCTGCATCCTCCCCCCTCACACATCTGCAGTCCACCCTCCTGTCCAGCCACAGTTCAGATGATGTCCCCTTGCCTGGTGACCAGGCCATGGGCACCTTGGAAAGGAGTCTGTGCTTTCTTTCAATTAACCTACTGCCAAGCAAAATGCTACCTCTCCCTGTCCCCTCAGTAGCCAACATGTGACAACGTGATGGAAAGCAGCACTCAGCCAGCCCCACTCATTGACCAAGCCAACAGCTCCCACACAGGTCTTCTTTCCAAAGCATTTGCTTCTGGATCCTGGATCCTGGTTCATTCTGCACATTTCCCCCAACTAAATGAGAATCAGTATTATCAGTCACTCTGTCTAAATAAGTGTTATCAAGAGCCACTACTGGTATTCCACCAGCAGGGACCACCTGTTCTCAGGGTAAAAAGGCACACACTGGACTCTTCCAGTAAGGAAGAAGGTAAATTCCCACCGACTCTCCTGGGGGACGTTACACACATAAAGTGCAACACAGGAACCCAGCACTTTTTCTTTCTTTCATTTTCGGTACAGACTCTCTAGGGGCAAACTGAGAGAGGGTTATTCTAGCTATAGAAACAGAAGAAAAGAGCTTCTGTACAGGTTCTAGAGACTAACATTATCAAGGCTAAGTTGAAAATTTTCTTTCAAATAGAGAAGACAAAAGGAAAAAACAGTTACAATGTAAAAGAGTATAATGTTATATATCATCATTATCACACATGACGGCACTTTACACTTTTGCTTTAAAACCAGGTCAGACACTGTTTGTTCCAGCCTGAAGGATGCAGTTTTTTTATACATCTCATTTCTGCACAAGAACTAGCTATAGCAATCATGGTCACAAAGGGACTGCTTCTATTCAAACTTCAATATACACAAGACCTCAGTAAGGTACTGTTTGCATGGGGAGTTGCATAGAGTTTAGTAAACAGGCAAAAAAAAAAAAACACCTTTTTACAGCTTTTAAAGAGAGGGCACAAATTCCAAAAATATCATTTAAATCACAATCTCTCTAAATCAAGATGAGAGGGAGAGAGTTCTTTTAAGTTCCAAAGTCAGCCTCAAGTAACTAAGGCTACTTAAAATAAAATATTCTGGAATTCTAGACTTCTATGAAATCCCCTGAGGGATTATTACAGTGGGGAAAAATTAAAAACACCTGAGGGAAGTGGGCTAGGAGAATAATGTCTTGCAGAGCAGTTCCACAGAAAGGAGCTATGAGACAATGCTTTGCTCCCAACCTAGCGGCAGAGAGTTGGTGCTGCCCGGAAGGGTCTGACTCCAAGGGGAAGACTATATGCAGGCTGAAGGGAGCATTCCAATAAGGCCTGGGGATAAAATAGGGCTTCTGTGACCCAGTGCTTGACAGCTCTTAGGAGTTAACAGGTGACACAAATTTATGTGGGTCTTGGTTTTTTTTGGGGGGGCTGCCTGTTTCACTTTTGAAAATCTGTGCTTAGTTGCCTAATTAAGACTGAGACTCCTGGTTCTTGTCAAATAAAAGACTAAGGTAGAGAAATAACCACTCCCTTGAGAAGACTGGTGTTTTGGGCCAAAAGGCAAAATCAAAACTGTCTCTGACCCCTGGCAGCCCAAGTGCAAAGCATTCACCTTACAAAGTGAGAATGCACTTTTCTCTAAAGACACCTGAGTGCAGGGCAAGAAAGCAGAAATACATTCCGAGCAACGCAGTGTGACAGTAACCAAAAATACTTTTCTAAATAAAAAAGTTAGACATATGTAACACATCCAGCAAATGTTCTGGCTATTGGCCTATCAAACTGGGTTAGCTATAAAAATTACACTAGCTGAAACTATAAATCATAAAAATTTAGTAAAATGGCACAAAGAGTGTAGACATAAATGTGTTGGTGAAGAACACAAGAAAAGTAGTGGTACTAAGTGGAAAGAAGCAGAAAAATAATTTGAACTCTTTCTGTCTTATACATGAAGGTTCTTTGCCATCTGACCAAAAAAGCATTACTGGATATAACCAAGAAATGGGGGGGGGTGGGAATGGGGGGAGGACAGATCTGACACACTGGTTCACAATGAGAATTCCAGGCTTCTCTAGTTGCCTGGAGCATAGTAATATGATTTTCCAGCACATTAGGGAAGCAAAAGTAGAACCAGAAAGTCTATGTACTGGCTGGATTTTGTTAATGTCACTTAAAATGGAGGAAAAAATGCTAGCAAGATACCAAATAGAGTGCAGCAGATGGTAAACAAATATTATGAAGCAATCTTCACAAAATCTGTAGTGTGTCACAAATATACAAAATGGCAGAGTTTGGGAAAAGAGAATCATAACAGGCCATATGTTGTTAGCGATTTTATTTGAAGCAACATACAATCCAAAAGGGAAACCTAGAAGAGGAACATAAAGGCCCAATAGAGGAGCATCAGCCTCAGGTAGGGGGTGGTCAGAATGGCCTACCAAGTAAACAGCAGACGCCGGGGAGCTCTCAGCCACACAGCACCCACTGCAGTAAAGGGGGCTGGAAAGGGCTTTCTCGGGAGAAGCAATTGAGCTTCTACAAAGAGTAATAGAAAGTTAAGGCAATATATTATATGTCATTTGTCACACTCCTTCTGTGCCAGGTGGAAGTCAATTAGAACTATAGCAAAGGCATTTTTCCCAAGCAAGAGGAAAGAAATGAAAACATAACTGTAGAAGTGAGAAAGACATCTAATAGAAATTACCAGAAAAGTTGTCTATTTTGATCCCTTCTAAAGGGATCAAAGAGTCTAAACATCTGGGCAGGACTTCAAGGCCACAGTTAATCTATGGACACACTTTCATGGCCAAGAGATTTCACTTAGCTCCAGGTCTCCCTCCTTCTGGTTACTTCCCTGTTTTTTGACTTCCTTTCTCCTTCCAGAAAACAAAAAGTGCCCACTATGAGGTAGACATTGTACTGGGCACTGAGATAAAAGTGAAAAAAGAAAAAACACTGCCCCATGGAACTCACACCTAGTGACAGAAATAAGGGAACATACCATGCAGATAACTGGGAAAGTGCCTTCCAGGCAGAGGGAGCAGCTGATGCAGAGGCCCTGCCTGGCATGTTCTAGGGGCAGAGAGGATGTCAGGGTGGCTGAACCAAAAGGAAAGGTAGAGAGAGAAAGAGCATTTCAGAGAAGTAATGGTGGGACAAGGCTGAGGCAGATGCAAAAATGTAGGGACTTGTGGGGCATTTTGAGGACTTGGCTTTTACTCTCAATTGAAATGGAAGTCACTGAAGGATTTTGAGTGCATGATCCTGCTGAGGAGGATCTCTCTGAGCTCTCAGCAATTTGGGAACTTGAATGAGGCAGAGGGATCACAAGTTGGAGGCCAGCTTGGGTCACCTAAAAGACCCTCAGCAATTTAGTGAGACCATATACAAAATAAAAAATTTAAAGAAAGGACTGGAGCTAGAGCTCAGTGTGTTCAATCCCCATGATCAAAAAGAAAAAAAGCACTCTGGC